TCAGCAAATAATATACTAGGAAAAAAATTAAAAGGAAATAATTGACAATCAATCACTGATTGAAAATCCAAACAATTGAAAGCCACACTGGGAGCGACACTGTAGCCACAGAAATACAGAACAGCTGACAAAGCCACCCCTGAATTCCATTTATTTATGCATGGCCTTTGACCAAGTGGTGCTGCCTCTGAGCCAGGAAAAAATAGTCACAACCAAAAAGCACAACAAATCAATCATACCAAGCTCTTGTTATCAGTGAGTTTATCCAGGAACATAAGAATGCAAATGCATGAAAATGAATCTCCTTCAGTCACTTCTCAGGGCGTCAGAGAGACCAAGGCCAGGGTGCAGGTCCTACTGTCTCAGCAAGGACTCTCACACCTGTAAGGTGCCCAGGATCACCCAGTCACCGGAGGTGAGTCTCTCGCTGCTCCATCTACTCCATTGAGTGTATCCTGTCACTTCTAGGAGTAGCATCCACTTGTTCATCTGCTTGTGATTTATAGCTGAGAACAGAACTGGGGGTGTAGCCTGGGTAGACAGATCCTGGACTGGACTACATGGTACACTCGGAACTCCGCGGTCCTTAGGGTCAGGAATCTGGGGTTGGGCTGTTCTTCAGGCTGTAGGGCTCAGACCTGGCAGGACTGACTGGGAATCTTCCATCTGGCTATGTTCTGCAGGGAGCCAGTGAGGTTCTAGGTGGTTTCTTCTCTCCTCCTCCAAGCCTCTCAGCTGGCCTCCTTGGATGCCTAGCTTCAGTTCCTCAGATGTTAATTCCAAAGTTTTAAGTGAATTCTGTCGTGGGCAGGGGTAACACATGGGTTCTATGTCAGGGGAGCAAGGATTATCAACGTCTGTATTAGGGATGTCTGGTATGAGCCCATGGTGTAAAGCTGCAGCAGCCTGCATGCTTGCCCTGCAGGTCTAGGGCAGAGGCACCTGTATAGCTGGGTCTGGTTGTGCAGGCCTGCAATCCTAGTTCCTCTGGAGGCCAGGGAAGAAGGACCAAACGTTCAAGATTTGCCTGGAAATCCTACGGAGGCCATCTCAAAGATAAAACTTTTAAAAAAGTCTGGGGGCAGTAGTAGTAGAGGCAAGGCCCTATTTATGTTCAAGCCCCAGCAGCAAACACAGGGCTGAGTGGGGGCAGCTGCACAATAAGCCTCTCCCAAGCCAACTGTCTCCTCCACCTCACTGTTCACCCCTAGCAACCTCTGAATACATGGTCAAAACTGAAGCCTGACAGCCTGGATGCCTTAGAGCCGGCCAACCCCCACCCCCACTTTGGCTAACAGCAGAACATCACATGCATACCTTCCACGCCACTGTCTGCCTAGACCCGCAGTGACTTGTATTCCCACCTACAGCCTGTGCTTTTCCTAGGAAAACCAGAGCATTTGCTGTAAGACCAATTGCCCCCTTCCACTGTGCAGGCAGATTAAGCCATAGCTACTGTCCATGACTAGCAATCAGGACTTGCCCAAAGTTTCCAGCCTGCCTCAAGAAAGCTCTAAAGCTGTCCCGCTTTTCCTTCCATGTTCAGAGTGTCAAGGTCCAACAGGCTTCCTCTGCTTCACTCAAGAGCTGGCTGTCCAGGCACTGCCAAGCCTTTAACATCACTCTGGCCCTTGTGCAATTCCTTCAGCAAGCACCAATTAGCACACTGAGGTCACACCTGCAAGCAGTTCTCAGATCTGGACAGTATTTAGCTTTGGCCTCTTGGACAGTGAGGTTAATAATCTCTTCTTCCTGATGTCTTGTGGTCGCACATGTCACATGGGAGGTTCCATCCTCCCAAGGGTTCCCAGTACCACTATCAGTGGGACCCCACAAAGGGGCTACAAGTACAAGCATGGGAGGGAGAGCAGAGAATGTTTCTGCACCTAAGATGTCCCAGCACAAACAGCAGCAACACAGACACCATTTATTCCGTGCCCTTGAGACCTTCCCAATACTTCTTGAAGAATCGAACAGTGATGAAATACAAACACGAAATATTTGGTAAGCGTTTCTTCAAGGCAAGACCTTCCCTTCGGTGCGAGCTCAAGCACAGAACCAGACACAGTCCTCAGCATGAATCCTCCAAGGCAGGCCACAAGCAGCAGCAGGTAAGAAGCCAGGCTTCCTGCGGGGCTTGTGGGCCAGGCAAGATGTTTCACACCATCTGGTCACAACAGGCTTAATGTACTCTGGCCAGAGGGCTTTCAAACACTGGAAGACACCTCCAGTTCCTTTAGATCACAACAGCCTATCTGAAAGGAGCATAAACACAACCACTTTCTTCCAAATCCTGATGGCTCTTTGACTCAATTCTTTCTTGTACATTTGTGATCTACACACTAAGACGCTGAAAATAACCTTCAGCTTGTGGTAGCACACGTACATAAGGAACTATGCTTTCTATCCCCACTGGAAACATCCCACAAGTGGGTGGGGCAGGGGGCGAAACTAGGCTTTTCTAAGAGCTAAGGTCTATGGAACAACAAAATAATCATCTCCAATATAAATTTTACTATTTTATTTGTGAAAAAACTACAAGCAGAATTCATAAATAGACATTTCTATTTAAAGCAGGAAAATGATAAAGTGGCTTCTAATAACATAGTCGTGCACATGCCAATAACAGGAATATATTAACATCTTTTATTTGCTAGACAAAGAGCAGTGTCCAATATAAATTTCCCCCAAACATTTAAGACCTGTGAATTTCTGACCAGTTCACAAAACCACTGACACTTTAGCATGAAGAGAAAACAAACCTAACAGACTGTCAGCTCTAAGACGGACGGAGCAGAAACTTCCAAAGCATTATACAAGCCATCTTTCTGGGCAAATGGAAAATAGAGCTCGTATAAGACATTAACAAAAGTTCACAAGGGAAGATTATGTTCTGACATACTTAACAAGCATTCGCTATCTGTCTCCAACAAACAAAGCTAAGGAAATAATGTAACCATCTTTACACAGTAAATTAAGGTTACAAGTCATACACAAGAACAGAACTGCTTGCGCGTTAGAAACTGTTCAGCTCCATTGTCACACTCTAAATGTTGGCTCTTAAACCATTTTCGGTAACATACAAGCAAAGGTTATTATATATTCAGCAATTAATAATTTCTCAATAATTTAAGATACGGTAGCTTAAAAATGTAGACTGAGAATGATCTTGATAAGGCAGGCGAGACATCTCAGTGGAGCTAAACTCACAGAAGCTTCTGCCAATGTTCCGAAGTACCCAGATCCAAACTGAAAGGTTTTGATTAAAATATTTTCGTGGTTATCAAGATGTCTTTTTCTTCCCCTCCCAATTGCATGACTCGGGCAGAGCAAGTCAGGTCAGCTCTGTGCGTGTACATACGAGTGTGAAGAAAGATCATGTACTAAACATACAGGAAACTTGCAAGCCTTAACACTGTGCTTTTTGTTTTAATATGCTTTCTGTGCCACTGAATACCAAGTATTTCTGGTCCTCTTAATGTCTCTTTGTAAGCTACACTAGTGTTTTTACCTACTGAGTACTATAGTAGGGCAAACTGTAAATGCAGGGAGCTAATAAGAATTCCATTTCCAGAATGCATGCCTGAGGATGTCATTGTGTAGCACCTACCACCTCTTCACCCCAACAGAGCCTGTGACAGCAGCGACAGGGCGGCCAGGGACATCAGACTGCTTAGACTCCGCTACTGTCAGCTGCAGTTTCTACCTCACGGCAAGTTCACTCCACTCGTTCTGAAGCCTTTCCTCCCTTCACCTCTCCTCATTAATTTATCACGGAGGCAAAACTCAAAAACCAAGACATGGGCGATGAATGGATTAGTAGCCTATGAGGAGCTGGTAAATCAGCCTTTCCCGCTAATCTAGGGGGTCCAATCACTTTACATGAAACTCGTTTGGAAAAAGTACACAGTGTTTCTGAACAAAGTGCATACCAACACTTATTGGTTCAAAGAGCAGTGCAATCCACATGAATTTGGTGGCATTTAAATTTTTTTTTAAAAAGTTAATTAAAAAACTTAGCAATTCCTTACACCTCTGGAAAATAAATATGGCTGACTAATTAACCCTCCCTGAGACCCTTAATAAAAGGAATATTAAAACTTTAGAAGGAATGTCTTTGCAATACCCCACTAATATTAAAATGTGGATTTAAAATTCATAGTCAAATCACTATGTATTATATATTCTGATGCTTACAGAAAGCACCTGATTTCCTTTGGTTCATTAATAAATACTTTAAAAAGATATTTAAAAAGGTAAGTACAGCTTGCATCCCAGATACAAGCACTGTTTTAAAAAGAGGGGAGCATTGTCCATGCTTCTGAGAACAGGAGCCCAGTGACAAATAGCACTGCCTTTGGGACAGAACATACACTACAGCGCAGAATGACTGGACTGGTTTTAATGTAAATGTGAATGGAACCATTCCCGTTGGCTACTCAATTCAAGCTGTTAATGTTCTTAACTTGTTGCCTCCACAGATCGAAATCAGTTCTATTATTAAGCAAACCAGGTTAACACCAAGATGTGGTGTTTCCTTACACACACACTCTCCCGTGAGTCCTTCGAGTGTGATCCAATAAAGGAAGGTTAACACCACGTTCTCATGCTTAAAGTGACTTAAGTACTACAAAGAGTGGATATGAAGGTAAAGTCAGATAGGAGAGATACCCTGAATCTAAGTACAAAGCAGACCCACCCAAACTAGGGGTGAGATGGGGTTATTAGTGGTCTCTGATTCTCCCCGCCCCTACAACGGAAAAGTGAAGAGAAACTCTCAGGGTTCAGTCATGTCACTCTGTTGAGAAGACAAAGACGCCTGGTCACTCTCCTGGGGCGGGAGCGTTTGCCCCGTGACTTGTCCATGCACCCCTGCGGTCCTTTCCCACACAAGGAGCTGAGAAACAACACCAGAAACTGGATGTGTGGTTGACAACCATTGTTAAGTAAAATGAGTAATAGCAGGATTTTAAGAAGAAAACAACTGCATTGGTAGGGTGAAGGTTTGGGGGCTGGGGGTAGGGGTGGCAAACAGAACACAATCACAAAACCCACCACTGCAATGTCACAGGGGAAGTAGACCGCCTCCCTGATGGTGTGGGTTAAAAACGCACCTACTGCAAACCCTAGGACTAACAGACAGTTGCTAGATGTGCCTCAGGCATGAGCAGAGGTCTGGGAAAGGCCGGAATTCAAGATACAGAACACCACATTTTCATGAGTGCTTAAGAACAGTAATGTTAACATGTGACCGTAATTTACACGAATACTTGGCATTCTGGAGCTAGTTTTGTTACTTCCAATGGTCAAAGCCCTCCAACTGAACCACCTGTGATTTGTCAATTATACCATCGCAAATGCAGGCTATCTGGAGCAGTCTTTAAATTTGAGATCACATTGTTTAAAAAATATATTTTTTATATCATCCAGTACTTTTAAAGACAGATGAGAGAGTCAAGTTCCCATGTAGGTTGGAACATACTTCATGTAAGACTGATTTTAATTATATTTCAGCACTTTCATAGAAGGGACTGTCCCAGATCTGTGTCAACTGTTCAATGTTGTATTCACTTCACAGTGTATCAAGCACCAGCGTTGCCATGGATTGGTTTCAAATAACCCTTTATATATAATTTTATATTTATATATATAGTTATATCAAAACTGATAGTACAGAGTATAGCTGGAAGAAAGAACTAAATTTAAGAGGATATGCTGACAGGATGGAGTCTGTGAACACAATAAATAAAAGTTCCCTCCCCCCTCCCAACCCTCTTCAACAAAACAGAAACAGAAAACCAGTTGTAATGTACATGGAAAATTGTGCACAGCAGATTTTTTTTATATAAAAAGTAGATTCAGGAGCACATCCAATTATAAATGATTGTTAGGAAAATCATATAAAACAATGGAATACATAAAAGTGTCAAGAGTAACTGTCAGGGTACGAAATTCCTTGGTAGCCAGATGCCCACGGCAAGCAGAACCTCTCCTGGTAGCATCACTACAAGGTCGTCCACAGAAGACTCTCCAGGGTGCAAGCAGCATGGGCAGGTGGAGGGTTTGAATCTCATACCCTGATTCATAGTTTCACAATTCCATGTGCAATTTCAGAAAGATTCATCATTTACTGCTGACATATCGCCCTTTGGCGTGGAGGAGCGGGAGGAGCCTTTGTCTGTGCTCTCTGACCCCGAGCTGCTCTGGTTCTGCTGTTCTGACCCTGCACTGGAGGTCACTGTGGAGGAGGATGTAGAGGAGGATCGAGTCTTTTCCTTAAAGTCTGTGATAATGACTGTGACGTTGCCCACAGTTACGGCCAACTGCTGTGCGGTGCTCCTGTCCACGTTCTTCAGCCGGGGTCTGAAACACATCAAGGGAGACATTTAGGGAATGACAACATCTACACGAGCCTTCCCAAAAGCTTGTGCCCATGTACTGTAGGCATTCTGACCACATTTAACAATAGGAGAAATGACCATCAGCTAGCAGAACTTTTGATCATAGTTGACAAACCACTTCTGTTCTTTTTGTTCTGGCCAAGATGATCTAAAAGGTCAGGAACCTTATCTTAGTTCCTCACTCCACCTCCCTTGGCCTAAAATCTCTTAAGTATATAGGAATCTTGGGTTTTTGATTATGATTAAATCAACAACTTAGTATTTCACTCTAGTTTCATAGTACCTTGAGGTGTGATTCGTTTCGCTGGTCTTTGTTGTAGCGTTAGCCGACTGTATACTGTTAGCTTCACTAGGAGGATCTTTCAGAATATCAGACTTTGGTCTAAGGGTAAAAGCAAAGACCCAGGAAAACAAAAATAAGTCATCATTTGAAATCTCTGACCCAAGTGCAAATTAGTACATAGTAATCAGTACCCAGATACTTACTTTGTTTTCTTGTTGGTGTTTTTCTTGGTGACACTGGGGCTAATGTCCTTGTCTTTCTCAGGTTTCTCTTTGTCAGGTTTTTCCACTTTCTCCTTCTTCTCCTTCTTAGGGGGAGGTGGAGTGGCATACTGCTGTGCCACCTGCTGTGCCACCAGCTGAGAATTGATGCGAGGTTTCCTGCAACATTCAACACAAGATACAGCATTAGTGTCTGGCTGGGAGTATTTTCTTAACAATTCAACTATCCATTATTCCACACTGTTTCAATGTTGTCTTCAAAAGGAGACATCACATGTCCTTTTGGTACATATGCACACAGCCCTGTGCAATCATCCAACAAGTTACAGGAGTGCTAAAGACACAGTCTTTTGAGCTGTCATGATTATACTGACAGCTTTCAAATATTGCTGCTGCAGAAGGCTAATCTCGTTTTATTAAAGGGACACTGGTAATCCCTTGAAAAGAGAATGAAATTAGAAGTGTGACATTCACTCCTCAATCTAATTATTCCAACTAGGCCTGCTCCCCTGCAGCTGTGATTGGCACAGACAACACATACTGGGCAATAAAAGGTAACTGTGGTTCATACAAACTCCCAAGGGATGAAGTCACTGTGAAAAAAACCTCAGACAAGTGATACATTGATTGTGTCATAACAGTTATGCCCGCACCAATCTCCAGCTGACACAGGCTCTCTCATCACTGTTGTGTGTGTAGCTTCTAAGGAGTACCAAACATTCTCACAATGCAGGACTATTCACAGACCCAAAACGGGGGGGGGGGGGGGGGGGGGGGGATGCTAGCCAATGTTTCTATATACAACAACCCCTCCTCTACAGTCACATAACAGGTCTCATAAGTGAGGTCCCCGAGCTACTGCAAGGCAAGTGGCCCTCGAGCATGGGAATACAGGTAGAGATGGTTGGGATGAAATGCTATTGACCATAATTGACCGCTGAAGGTTGGGTGAGACAGGACTCCTATAATACTAATATAAAATTTCCCCAGCTAGACAGTCAAGAGTAATCAAAGTTCTAAACCCCAAATGGGAATATTCAAATGGGCTCTTAGCAAAGTGAAACAACTGGGCTGCTAGAACATAGCCTAGTACACCAGAGCAAAAGCCCCAAGCAAAGGACCTGGAACACAGTCAGTCCTACACAGCACTGCCTCCTCACATAGTTCAGCTAGTCCTCACACAGGACTGTTGAGCAAACAAGGTTAATGGAGTACCCCTTGAAAAAACAATGTAGGGGACAATGCTTACAATTCCAGTAAAGACACAATCTCGACAAATGTCAACTCTATCAGCCTCCAGCAACAAAGGCGTTGATCAGGAAACCAGTTAGCTCAAAGTAAAGTTCTCTAAGTGAAGTTATTAAGTCATAAGATTTATATGTGGTTCTCAAACTTCCTAATGCTGTGACCCTTTAATGAAGTTCATATTGTGTTGACCCCAACCGTAAAATTATTTTCTCTCTCTCTCTCTCTCTCTCTCTCTCTCTCTCTCTCTCTCTCTTGTTTTGGATTTTTGAGAAGGTTTCTCTGTAGCTTTTGGTTCCTGTCCTGGAACTAGCTCTTCTAGACCAGGTGGCCTCGAACTCACAGAGATCCGCCTGCCTCTGCCTCCCGAGTGCTGGGATTAAAGGCGTGCGCCACCACTGCCCGGCCCGTAAAATTATTTTCATTGCTACTTCATAACTGTAATTTTGCTACTGTTATGAACTGTAATGTAAAAACCTGATATGCTACCCATTCAAACCTCAAAAGGGTCTCAACCCACAGGTTGCTCTAGATGACTATTGAGTCTAAGCCCTTGCCTCCAAACACTCATAGAACTTCACCTTTATGTGAAAAGGTGCCATCAGTTTTAACAATGAAGCAGCCCTACCTAACATGTTCCTTCAAAGAGGAATATAGCTGCAAATACAAAGATTTCATAGGCACCAAAGGAACGAGAACCAGCTGTTTACAAGATTACCAAGCACTGTAAATCAGACTTGTAACAAGCTGTCATATAGTTTAACCTACACTTGGATGTCAAAAGGAATTTTGGTGCTTGGGTGTAGTGTTATCCTTGCATACTACAAAGTCCTGAGTTTGATCCTGCTGTTAAACCTAACAAATTTGAGGCTAGCCTGAGCTACATGAGGCTTTAATACGTACAGAAAAGTACCTTTCAATTAAGCCCACTGCAAACAAAATGAACCCAAGATAAAGAGAAGGCACCTGCAGAGCACTTCATATAGAGATAGAACCAAAAAGGTGCCCAGGGGCCTCATGCTAGAACCCCAGTAAAGTTTTGTAGTGTCCTTTACCAGGCTACACTTTATTTTTACCCCCAAAGTTTAGGACTGTTAATTTGTCCTAAAGTCACTGAAGCAAAAAAGAAAAAAAAAAAAAGATAAACATTCTTTTACAACCCCCAACGCAAAAAAGAAAAAGACTGTTGAAATGTCCTTAGAAGGCTCTATCATTTTTAACAAAAGTAACAGTGTAAAACCCCAGAGTCCTTTAAAATAAATTGGGAAAGATTGGGATGGAAGGAATTACTCAATTTTGTCTTCTTTCCTTGTGGCTTTAAGTCTCCCCCTCCTCCTCTGCCAGGCTACACTTTATACTTCAATGCCAGATAAGCTGGACAAATAAACTGGACAATGGTGGTGCGTGCCTTTTAATCCCAGCAATTGGGAGACAGAAACAGGTGAATTTCTGTAAATTCAAGGCCAGCTTGGTCTACCAAGAGAGTCCCACACTGTTGTACAGAGAAACCCTCTGTGGGGGGTGGGGGTAGCAGGACAGAGACAAAGAGAGGAGAGTTCTTGCATCTCAAAGCACCTGTGAAGGTCTGGCTGTTGGTAGAGCACCTAACAACACAGCCTCCAGCTCCCTATCACAGCTCTTTGGCTTCTCCAGGATGCAGGACTCCTGACAAGGTCAGCTAGCTGCACAACTCACAAGCTGCACTCAACAGGTAAGATGTCTAAACACTTGTGACCATGTTAGGCACTCACACATCAGCAAATATGCTAATTCTTCAGCACAGACCACAAGTTTCATTATAGACAGGATGAAATTCATATATACAGGGAATAAACGATGGCCCATTCATCCTAGCACAGGCACAACAACAGTGTGTGGGCAGACAAGTGATGTGCTGTGTTACACAAGCCAAAAGGAATTAGGACTAATTAGCATAGTATTCAATTATTAACCATGAAAATTGACTCAGCATTCTAAAAGCACTGTGTTATTTGGAAATAACTGCTGTGTTCTAAATGTTGTATGTATGGCTCAATGATATCCTTAATTGACAGTTACCTTATAAGCAACCCACCAGCTCTTCCCCACCTAAACCCTGCACAGTGGCAATTTATTTTCTTAAATTCAAAGACTTGCTACAGAATAACCATCCCTCATACCCACCTCAGTATTTCTGTGTTAAGGAGCAATTTCATGACCTAAGGAAAATGAAAGTCTAGAATGGTTTCTTATATTAAGGTATCCCCGTGAAAAGCACCTAATTTTTTTAGTGCTAACTCCAAAAACATGCATATGCCAGGTTTAAAGACACAAAAGCATTTATGTGCAGCTATTCTTCCCATCTCTTGTACATGTAAAAGCCTTAGCAGAAGATAGGAATTGTAGTACATCCAACATCAAGGCCCTAGACAGACCAAATATGCTTTTATAAATACAATTTTATAAATCAAAGTTACTTTTCTTTGGAAAAAAAAAGTCTCTGTAAAAGAATTTAAATTCAGCCGGGCAAATGGTAGCGCACGCCTTTAATCCTAGCACTCGGGAGGCAGAGGCAGGCCAATCTCTGTGAGTTCGAGGCCAGCCTGGTGTACAGAGTGAGTTCGTTCCAAGGACAGGCTCCAAAACTACAGAGAAACAACAACAAAACAAACAAAAAAAGAATTTAGGTTTTAAGTTGTGAACAGCTAAGGCATGACTACATTTTCAGGATGGTTCCTCAATTTACCTCTAAGGCAATGTACTAAACTGTCCATCCCAACAGTATCACCCACCATACATGAATGGCCCTGGCTTCTTAACCAGTGCAACTTGTGCTGATTTAATCCTAATTCCTGAACAAGTAACCTATATGATTCATAGGTTGTATTAAAACCAGCTACTTTCACACAAAGACAATTTAAAACCACCATATCTGACTGTGGCCATACTTTGTAAGGTATCATTAATTTCTCTGCTTTGACGCTTAAGAAATCTTTCTTTTAGTATTAAATATAGAGCTGTTCCTTCTCTCACAAACAATCCTTCAAATTCGCCACTAGTGACCTAAAGAAATTGTAATCCCATTCTAAGCTATTCTTTCTCATCAGTATATACCAGACTCAAGAGAACCACTGTGCTCTGTAAAAACCTTCCTCCCAATTCTAACTCCAACTACTGTATAATGAAAACTTTTTTCTCCTGAGCCAGGCAGTGATGGCACAGCCTTTAATCCCAGCACTCAGGAGGCAGAGGCAGACAGATCTCTGTGAGTTTGAAGCCAGATTGGTCTACAGAGTGAGTTCTAGGATGTCTCATGCGGAAGAACTGTGTGTGAGTCTGAGCGCACGCGTGTGTGTGGTTTGTACTATGGAGTGTATGTGGAGGTCAGAGGACAGTTTGAGGGAATTGGTTGTTTCTTCCCACTATGTGGGTCGAGGGGATCAAACTCAGGTTGTTAGGCTTGGTGGCAAGTGTCCTTACTGACTGAGCTGTCTTACAAGCCATCTAGAACCTTTCTCTGAAGCTCAATGGGTTTCTTTGGCAGTTTTATTCTCTGGTCTGAGTGGTGTCAGGATCATGCCCTCCAAGGCAGCCCAAGTACCCTAATTACAGCCCAAACTGGAACTCCCGGACTGGACGGGAAGAGGACTGGCTTCACTCCCCCCTGCCCTAACAGAAAAGAGGGCCTGCAGCAGCATCGAGGTCTACTTTCTAATGCAGTGTACTGTGTGATTTTGGCTAAGTTACATTATCTGGCCAAACTTCTGTTGCCTCAATGATGAAAGCACTGGAGTAAATGATTTTAGGAAGCTTCAAACCACCCTTACATTTTTGCATTCAATATTTAATAAACACATCTTAGTGAAGTGCAGGCAGGTTTGTAGCTTACATTGTCAGCAACTCATTTAGCCTGTTTACAGTCAGCTATATCATCT